AACATGTCAAGTTGAAAATTTTTGATTTCAGTTTATTTCCATGCTCATTTTGTTCACACCTGTAATCGGTTCTACCCCTGTGTAATTGTTGTTTATAAGTCTCTTGTAATTCATATCAAGTTGAAAACAATTATCACCTTTTATTCGACTTTAAAATTATTTCTCCAGTTATCAAATATTAATTTTTTGCATACGTTGTAACTGTTTTCTAATCAATCCTATGCAATCTTGTCTCTAATCCCCTTGTAATCTACATTCGTACCTTCAGACTTTCATATCAAGTTGAAAATTATTATCACCTTCGTTACTATGTGGAATTAAACAAGTAATAATAATTGTATCCATGTGAACTAATCTATATAAATGTGATTGTACAGCTGCTTTTGAGAATGAAATCGCCGAAAAGATTGGCCATCTTTGCTGAACTTCGTGTTCTCTTCTTTATAAAATGAACTACACCCGGTATAATGGAAAAGTTGTAGGCGAAGAAAATTCGTAAAGCTAAACTGCAATAAAATGTCACATCACATCTCTGTCTAAAATATAACGATGAATTTCTCATCTGCATAACTTAATCCTGTCACTGAGTTTCACTTGTGCTCATTCTTAAAAATAGGGTCAGCATTGGTGATGTTAAGATAAACTCAATCAAATTACCAACGGTAACAATATATATATATATATATATATATATATATATATAGAATGTATGAATACTTATTCTGTATGTACTATACTGGTAGAGTGATCGACACTCATTGCTTAAAACGTAAATATAAACACCATCAAGGTCACTTAAGAGTTATTCACAAAATAATAACACAGAACATTATTCAAAATACCTGACAATTCACTGTCAGCCATGACAGTCAATATTTATCTGAGATAGTTAAAGATAGTGACAACTTTTCATAAAGGTGTATAAAACACGCATAACTTTCTAAATTGTTAGTGTTAAATGTGAAAATAACTCAATTTGATAACAACACTTTTAAATAAATTGCAAACATGAATGGCATTCACATCGACGGTTTAGGTATTTGCTAGAAATAAGCATAGGGATCCAAAGTACACACATTTTGTCCCACTGGAGACTAGTCATTTTTCATTTATTTTGTCTGAGGCTTGAATATAACGCCTACATTTGAAAACCTCATAAAGTATCATTTTCAATTGTTATGCTAGCCCACTTCTACCAAAATAACTCATTCACCAGTGTGTTTATCAGCACATAGGCTTATTACCACAAGGACTATGTTTTCGTCTGCGGCAACGGTAATATTTAATTTACCCAACAAGTGATGCTTTGATATTTCAGGCAATGATTGTTCTGTCTCAATAAAGAGAACAAAACATTCCACTATAAAAATGTCTAGATGATATTGTATTTTTTAGCATAATGTTTTTTAACCTTGAATTCTTATTCTAACTATTAACAAATATAGGACCAAAGTTTTGTGTAAAGAAAAGTGAAAACTGTCAACAAGGTGGTCACACGTTTTGCAAAGGGATAAACGTTCATCGTGAAGAGAATTCTCACTACGCGTTTACGCATAAAACCAACAACACCCTACTATGGATTAAAAGAGAAGAAAATATAATTATACAGTCACGAGATTTATGGACTATGTAAGAGAAATTGTTTACAGAAAAATATTCCAATCATAATTAGTATTCAATACTTTTCTTTCGGGTTACTTGAAAGAGCCTACAGCACAGTTTTGTTACACACAAAAGAGACAAAAGGTAAAACAAGTAAAATACACCAATATGTAAAAATGAACTATTTTAAGAAAAAACACTGCGTTGTTCTTACTTTAAAACAAAATCTTGTTTTCATTAGATTTCCACTCAACACATGCATAAATAAACACCAAAGTGATCTAAGCTTAAATAATAAGCGGTAAGATTAAACAGGAAAAAAGGGACAAGTAATTTGATTTTATAAATATCTAATCACTCAGTGAATTCTACGGAAACGCAATGCATTGGAATAGATGTTCTACAGGATTTCAACCGAAAGTTGTTTGTATCTCCTGAAAGGTGGCTATTCCACTAAAAAAACTGTTGATATTCAAACTATAGGTTTTGTGTGAATTTTGGACTGATTTCACTTGTTAGATTTTCGTAACGAGCCAACATCAGTTAGAAAGGTAGGTAGTAGTTAACTGGGTTCGAATGAGAAGTCGTGGCCAGTAGGGTACAGAAAGTAAGGTCTGAGGACAACTACTCGACAGGGACATTCGTTAGTGGTCGCGCCATATCAGTTGGAATTGATGGACCGTTGGATTCGGTCCCACTGGCCAAGTGGTTTACGAGCTCGCCTTGTAATGAGAGGTTCCTGGGTTCGAACCCTGGTGGATGCGCACTACTGAAGAGTCCGAAGCTAGGACGAAACAATGCTCCAAGGTTTTCCAAAGGTTCTGTGACCTATGCCAGCTCATGATGAAATCCTGTAAATAATCAAATCCCCGCAAACCAACACTTGTAGAGAGAGAGAGAGAGAATCATTAAAAGCCACGGAGAACTGCAGAGCTGTTACGTCCTTTTTCAGAACTTTTCAGAAATGCTCACCCGTCACCAGAGATCGAACCTGGGACCTTCAAATTACTAGAACAAAGTCGTTCACCGTTCAGCCAGTTTAGCGGTAATTTAGTGACCCGTGAATTCTAGCTTCTGTCAACTAGTGATATAGATGTGTCCTCACCAATGTCTTCGATGAAATGGAAGACGCCACTGGTCATGACTTCCAACTGAAGCTTCAGGAAGTCCATCCAGTACCCATCAGTGAGCTGGCGACCGAATAGGACATCCCAAAATAGGAAGACACAGATATCCAATTCTTCTTGGTTTTCAATGATGAAAATCTAACAGATGAAATTAATCCAAAGTTGTCACAAATCCCATAATCTGAATGAATTTCCTGAAGCTGAAGTGAGAAGAAGATTCGACCGGGAATCGAATCTGGACCTCCCACGTAGCTAGCAGGAGTGCTATTATTGGACCACTAACGCCCAGATTATGAAGGAAAACTCTTACTGCGGTACTTGGTTTCTGCAGATAAGAGAAAATCCGTTAATGTCTAACTCCTTTTCGTATGCTAAATATCATATTACCACTAGGTAGAAATTCTTCGCATGCGATCAGCCGGGGCATTGTGAGGAAATATCAGGGTTAACAGAGGTGAAGTGATATAACTAAAAAATGTCGAACTCACAGACCACGTTTTCTAGGTGACTTTGCTCAATTATGATTTTGCTTTCGTCATGCCCGACAAATTTTAGGCTCTGTATCGTTTTGTTTCTGTAGAATAGTTCGCACAGTATTTCTCATAACGATTACGCCCTTCTGTTATATGTTTCTATACAAAATAAAGGGGAAATTTCGGCAGTTAGGGATGTATCCCCAGGTGCTTTCCTGTCCCACTGTCAATAGGTGACTTTATGCCTCCGTAGAGCAATAGGCTGTACGTCGGTGGTTTCTGTGGTAGACTGTCCCCCAGCAGTCCGCATAGCCTGGGGTTCGATTCCCGACCGGCGCAAACTCTCATTTCGCTTCTTTGGTAGCAAGTTCAATAGAGAGGAAAGGGTGGTGATGTGGCTAGCGATCCTACCTTGTAAAAAATAAACATCAACTCTACTGAAACTTGAAAGTCTGACCTCGAAGCCCCATATTTCAACTCAGACATCATAATCTACAAATAATCCAGTCACCTGTTTGCCCTTTTGTTCTTAGATTATTTTTAAGCATTTACACAAGGGGAAAAATATCTGTTTTAAGAAATAGTAATACTATTTCGTCTACTTAGCGTAGTAATTATTACCTTATTATTATTATTTTATTCCTTTGCATTCCAAGTGGAATGTAGGGAGTCAAGTTTCAGTAGTAGTAGTAGTAGTATTGTTGTTTAACCTGGTTGAATCCCTGAGCCACCAAACGCAATACATCCCACCTTCTCTTATTCTTATTGTCTTAACCATTCAGTTATGTCCTAGAGTTGCAAAATGTACACAAGCATACTTTCAATTGGCTTTCAAACTACGGTGCAATACCGCCACCTTTTGCGGTGACAAAGGAAAAATATCATGATGGATTAGTTTATTATTGCTTCGGATCCCAAAGAAGTGAGAAGCACATAAAATGCTATAGACTTCGCTATTTTACTTGGAGATCCTGGCTGAGGAGAAGATATTATTATTCAGTAAATTACACCGAGATTTCTGTACTCTGTGTAAATGTTTTCCCCAGAATACAGTGATTTATTTGTTTTCATATTATATTTACAGGATAGGATTGCTGGCCTCACACCCAAGATTACTTCACGGGATAAGTGGAGTTAGCGAGTCAGCTAACCGAGGATTGCATGTGTGTGTGTGTGGCATGGTTGTTGAGAATTCTCCCGCTGAACCACCGATGCACAGGCTGGATTTGTAGTACTTCCATTTTAAAACAAAACTATTTTATTCAGAATAAATATAATATTTCTCTGAAGGTCTTTATTATCTCTTAACTTTCCTGGTTTTTTAGTGATAAACACTCACATTCACTATTTTACATTGACGTTGTTTATTATTAGTACTTCTTTTATGTAACACAGACACACAATAAAACAAAAATTAGCACAAACTGAACAATGTTAACGCATATAAATAAATTTCATTGGACCCGTTCAATCTGGTTTTTTTTTAAACCAATCAAAACCAATCATCTCTGTGAACAACATTTACAAATGTGGTATATAACCATGACAAAGTTGTAATTTAGTAGTAAATAATACTTTCGTTTGTCAACGTAACCGACAGATTTGTGTATTTTTGTACTGTTGGTGTTCTTATTTGTAGTCAAAATTTTAATGTCTTAATTTTTCTAGGATTGATTAGTGGTAGAAAGTGATCCACTCTTCCACTGTTTGACTGTTAAGAAATCATTCATCAAGAAGGAGAAGGAGAAGAGGAAGAAAATAAATAAAGAAAACTAATTTCCACGCATAACCATCTAGAATGGCTTCAGTTGCAAAGATTATCTATTTAATTTCCATACTGGTTGCAATCGCTTGCATAGTTGTATCGATAGCTATCAGTCCAGCTTGGAGCGGTAGGTTATGTTGTTTCAGTTTATTCATTTAATGTTAATCTATTTTGGTTGAAGATCATTTTCACAAAAGAAATAATAATTTATTAAGTCAGCTATATTTCTAGCCACCTCGTTCTTGTTTCTTAATAAATTATATATATATATATATATATATATATATATATATATATATATATATATATATATATATATATATATGCAGGTTACAAATGAAAAAAAGTTAATGATAGTAGTGGGATTAGGTATAAAATGAACTATGAGCTATGAGGGTTACCGGGATGGTTTTTTAATCCAATTCAGCAATGTTGTATATAGAAACGTGACTTTCTGATGTTCTAAATGCGACAGAAGAAAAAAATACACGGTGCATTAACATTCATCAATAAAGTACACAAGTATTTCATTGAACTTTGTATAAACTTACCCACATCCGACTGTCGTTAGTAGTCATTATTTATTGTATAGTTTATTTCTGACAATCACGCCAATCTCAATGCTGTACAACAGCATTAGGGAGAGATAAGCTAAGTCAAAGTGAAATTTTACACATTAAAAACTATTTTAACATCAATTTATTTTCATGATAAAGGATTTAAGTATTTCGTATCAATTGTTTTAATTCTAATTTATGTGTGTTGTCTACTATTTATTGATTGTTTGTTTTTTTAGGCTTAAACAATTTTCCCCTTGTTTGTTGTTTCTTTTCTGGATACAGCTGATCCAAATAATACCTTTTTGAAAGCGAATGGAGCACTCAGTATTGTCGGCTTGGTACTACTAGTGATAGCTGCTATACTTGCCATTGTTTTGATTTGCAGAGATTACTCACGGGGAATAATGATTGCTATTATTGTTCTTTTGGCTTTAGCCTGTGAGTTGAACTGTATTATTTTGTGTGATTAATTTATGTTGTTAATTCTCATTGTATAAATGTAAATGCGCTTCTTTGTGTGTATAGAGGTGTGATTATATTCAAGTAGCAGACTGTCTGTTCTCTCTCTGGGATACTCACACAGTTTACTGGTTTATGACGTGTAATGTTCACCTAGTTTTAGCATATTTATTACAGATATACGGAATGATGTTGACCAAGGAAGGATGTTGTTGTACTGGTTTTACTTTATCACTTCTTCTATGATTAATAGTACCACCATCAATTGGTGGAAGACAGTAAGGTTTACTATTTGAAGAACACTTTTTAAAAAACGTGTATATCTGAAGAAGTGAAGCATATCCTTCACTATTTCTTAGTCAGATTAAGTTTTAAATTCATAAAGCTTTTGACTTCAATTTTTGGCATCGAATATGAATTCCATGTGTATGAAATGTTCATGAAGATGTCAGGCAAACGGAATTACCATGAACACTTTGTCATTGTTCTGATAGAATAATCTTTAATATAAAGAGTTCAATAGTAGGTTGAAAGTAGTATTAGCAGTAGAATGAGCATTCCATTCCATTATTCACCGCTTGTTCTCCTATTGATGTAAAGGAAATTAAATACCCCATTCGCTTGCATCGATGAATGATATATATATATATATTAAACAAAACTGTGACCTGAATGTTGATTTCCGCCTTTACCTGTACGTGTTAGCGTTTTCCGTAAGCGCGTCAGCACGACGAGCTAGAAACGTAGAAAATTTTTGCTTTTTGAAAACGTAAGACTAGAATATCAGTTGTTATAATTACGATTTCATTATATAAGTACATGCAAGAAAATTATGTGTTATGTCTGCTAACTCCAGAAAATATGACCAAGTGTAAATAAAGGTCATTTCTGCTTATATCGCCAAACAGACGAGATGCTTTTCATTTAATGCAAACAGCCATTGAATAGTTTAACCGCTTACACATCCACATCCACACACACACATTCATTTACGCTGAATCCTCGCTTTATTTAATGAGAATAAGTTTAACGGCTAAATGAAACCAACACATGGCTTGGATATTTAGACCATATGGAAGCGTTTATTGTGAAATTTCGTTTGAACGGAAATCGCTTCCTCAGATAGCATCGTTTAAATATATATATATATATGCCTGAAGATTTGCAGAATAACTTTCATGTTATTTTTCCCCTCTTCTCTCTTAACTGATTTCTAACAGTAATATGCTTTATTGTCGCGTTGGCTGTCTACGGTCAAGGAGTGAACTGGCAGGCATGGCTACTGTCAGCTATGTGGGTGACATTTATTTGTCTTCTTATGGCAATCATGTTCTTATTGATTGATGATGAATAAATTTTGTGTTAATAATAATAATAATATATACTCAGTCTTCACCTGTGGAAAAATTAGTGAGAAAAGAATAATTATAATGCAAAATAATGTTCATAATAATAATAATAATTATTATTATTACAATAAGTAACATCTCTTCACAAAACTATGCACCTTTAACCAAAAAAGAAGTACATTCCTCTATAATATGAACATGCTGCTAGTGCTTTCATGCATTCAGATGGTGTCATCACCTCTTTCCCTTTTTTATTTATGGTCTCTTTGATTTTATTGTAAATTTTATTTCATGTATCTTTACATTTCCCTTGGACATTGAATTTTCTCAAAATATAAACATATATATGCATAAATACAAGATCAGAACACACACCTCTATGTTGAGTGTCCTTCTGACTTATCCAAATGAAGAAATAAATCAGGGGGTAGGAAAGGTCATCGTAAGCCCAAATGACTGTATCTCTATTCACTGGAACAACCTTTTCTGTTCGTTTGTATGTTTGTTTGTATGAAATACTACATTCTGCCACACTGAACACATCGATGTGCTAAACAGAAGTACTGTTATTATTTAGTGAAGCACTGGAATGATTCACACAAAATACACGTGGTTTGTGTTCAGTGCTTTCTCTTTGTTAGTAAAAATATTTATTGTACGACCGGTTATAAATGTTTAACCGGTATAAGAGAATAGATTTTTGGCAGTGTGCGATAAAGTACAATTCCATTTTAGGAATAATTTTGTATGAAAATATACGTATACCTATACAGTGGATATAGTATTACTTAATTTTCTGGTCACGTTTCGAGGACGATACATTGCTTATCATCACATATCGTCTTGACAGGAAAATAAAATATAGTTTCTCAAATAAAATTATTCCATCAAAGAAATATATTCAAGGTCCACTAAATAAATAATTTACAATAAAAAGAAGTAATTGATCCAGATTGTGTTATGTATTTGCGCAAAACATTTAGAACAATCTGCTCACACATACACATACATATGTGTGGAAATAATACAGCCTCTTAAGTTCATCACCTATGTCTATTCTTTTACCATTTAAGGTTTATTATTTCCATACACATATATTCCCATGACAAGTACATGTATGTGTGATCAGATTGCTCGAAATGTATTGCGCGAATACATTTCACAATTGAGATTAAGTATAATATTTCCGTATTGCTTTATTGAAAGTTACACAAGGGAACTAACTGTTCTGAATAATTTTGATAAAGACAGTATTTAGCACGATTAGATGATATACAAGTAAGTACAGGGGTGTATTTTCTAGGCGAAGAATAGGAGACGTCTTGGTCTTCCCGTTGTTGGACGCTTCCTAACTCACCACCTTATAATGTGCTTTTCTTCTATTAAATAAAGTAAGAACGGCTACTCAATGAACTAATTAATTGTTTATTTAGCTGCACTTTCGTCTCTATTGTTATTATTATTACTATTACTGCTGGATCAACTAGTTAGTGAAGAGTGTTGAGAATTAACAAATATTGAGGCAAAGTAACTAGAACAGTAATAAAAATAAAAGGTGAAATAAAGTCTCATTCGATGATTATTCAGTATTGTGTTTGATGCCATACTGATTTTAAAATGTGACAGATGAAAGTATAAAAATATTTCAACTATGTGCTATTATTTATGCTCTCATGGTGTATACAATTCATATCAAGAACATAATAAGAAGTTATACATTTTAGGGTAAGCACATAAACTACACTTAATTGACCAATATTTTATTCTCATAGTGTTGGTATTCATTATGCCATCTGTGTAATTAGTGTTTTATAAATCTGAATCCATCTTTGAGCACAGAACTTTATTCTTCTCTTGTTGTTGTTGTTGAGTTCTAGTTTACAGAAATTAGGAACAAACGGCAGACAGTAGGAAATTTTGAAATAAAAAAGTAGTAAGGATCCAAGCAATAGGGAGGGAGGGGGCCTTTGGACAGCTAGACAACTGCATCAGTCTTCGACATATCTCCATTCAAGCATTTTTGTATCAAAGCAATAGATGCATTCAACTAGCTTTCATCTTTGTGTGAAACTCAGCAATCCATTTTCAGATAATGTAGTAGTTCTGTAGTAGTTTTTCCAATGAAGTGTTGGCAAAGTTTAAACTTGAGGCTTAAAGAAGTGGATGTTTAACGTTTCCCTGGTTTCTCGGTTTCAGAATTCCATAACTTAAAACTTAACGTTTTAATAAACATGTCTTCACCGAAGAATGAGCAGTTATTTCAGGGAAAATGGAGGCCTAAATCAATGTTAAAAAGTGACCAAAACTTTATTCACCTATGGAAACAATCAATGTTAGAAAATAGTTTCTGTTCTGCAAAACCTTCTCTGATAATCACTGTCTTAATCTGGTTACTTCACTTTCAAATATTATTATGTTAAGTGAATTTATTCAGTGTCATGTTTAACTGTCAATTAATGCTTTCCGTGTGTAGAATGAAACACACACTTCTCATTCAAAGGGAAGGAATTAAAAGTGTTTTGACGTGCAAATTTACTCATGTGTTGTATATCATGAATGTGTGTTCACTTCATAATATCCTACCACAAAATTTAGTAGTCCTGGACATGATATTACACTATTATTATTCTATTCATACATTTCTAGAATATCTTCTGGAAATGTTTTAATAAATGCCACCTTCCTGACAATTACTCCTAAACTCCTCACTTAGCTGGTAGTAATCCCTGCAAAGAGGGAACGTTCGGCATGAGACTAGCAACCTCATCCTGTAAAAATAAAGCCACTGCTACCGAAACTTCAAGGCTCAGGCATGAAGCTTTTGGATCCACTCAGAAAACAAAGGGATAAGATAAAAGATGTGATCCTAACAATTACTGAATACACTAAGTTTAAGACAAGGCAGGTTATGGCCTGAAAATTTATTTCGATTTTCCGAAACGCTTCAAACAATGATTACTGAAAACATATTTTCAGTTTCTAACTATCAAATATACACTTTACAGGACTCAATAATGTGTGATGTGTGATGTTTGATTGATACCAGAACACGCGACATTTAGACTGATTTTAAGGTAGACTACTTTGATAATATGAAATGAACTAGTTCGCCTACACACAAGATAATTTGTGATGCTTAAATTATATTAGTGTGTTTATGTGATTCATTCACAAGCTAAGTCAACCAAATATTCACATTGATTTTTGTTCCACAGGTTCATCGCGGGAATATGCCCTAAAGGATAAAACACATACACCAGTTACTTCTCATAAAGTGTTTTATGTGTATGTGATCAAATATTATCTACATGTATTTAGTTTTTTTTACACCAATATAAAGCGTCATATGGACTACAAAGGCATTTCTGTTAATGAGAGTTCTATTTGTCTGTTTATGGATGGGGTGGGGTGGGGAGTTGAATAGCACAAATACAAATAAAATGACACTTTATTTTTTATAACTGTGAATAAAGATTCTGTTTCACTGTCATAAAATAGACGTATTTTCCACTAGTCTTACACTATTGCTTCTTGTACAGACAGAATAAAAATCTTTCTATAGTGATTTGAGTCCAGTTTGCGTGCTTACCGCCTCAACGCGTCTCGTTCTGTTCATAAGGAAGTAAAAAGACGGTAGTTAGGATACAGTACATAAGATTGACTAATTTCCCTGGCAATTGATTTTATGAGCGTGAAAAATGTTCATACAAGACGTAGTTTTAAGTGGTTGGAGGCAGTCGCTAGGATGCATTATTGACATTTGTCTGTAAGGAGTATCTGCAGAACCTCTGAGATTCATACCCGGGCTACCCAGAGCTGTAGTCAGCGATCCAACTCCTGTAGGACTATAATGGATACCTTGATTGGATATTTAGTAGTTACTAATGTCTAGTGCATGTTAAATTCTAACAGTCAAGTCTGCGATGTAGCCACCATGCTAGATGGCTGACTGACTTCCAATCTCAGAAGGTACTTGAGTTCCTCTAGAATTGTAGATATGCCTTAATGAAATGTGATAACAAGCACGAAACCCAGGTCAAAGAATTCCTACTGATTCCTTCCAACTATCTAATAACAATTCAGAGTGCACTGAGACGGTAGCCATATTGCAAACTTATCCAATAGAATGAAATCTGCACCAAGTGAAGGATCCAGTTTATGACATTAGTTACTACTTGATGTATCCAAACAAAATAACATAGTTTTATTGACTAAATATCTCGCTGGTACAAACAAATCGGTCTCTTTTTTTCTGTCCAATGTTTTGCCACCCAAAAATACCGCCTGACATACCAAAAGGTATTGTTGATGTATTTGACGCAACCACTTGCACCTTAAAAATCATCTTAAGCCCCACTGACTTGCAAGAATCCCAGTTTTCTTAATTGCATGACAATAAGGTGAGACAACAAGAACAGTAATAGTTATCCAAATGACCACTCCGTGATTAGGATAACGTACCCACTAACAACTTGGATTCTGCTTTATTTGAAACACAGGGAGCTTCCTAGACAAACGCTTCTAATGGATAACAATGCAGTATTCATAAGTGACTTGTTATCAAGTTGTAAGGAGCTTAGTTTCAAAGGTATGATAGTGGAAGGAACAGAAGGCTGACTATTCTTCCTTCTTAGTTTTTGAATGACTGGAATTCTTTTGCTGTTATAAATGCACTGAACTGAATGTCAACAGTCGTCGCTTGTTAGTTAAGTCTGCACCTGCTTCCGATTCACTGAGCCACGCAAATATCAAAAGACAAAGGTTGGCCTGTGACTGTAAGATGCTGTACTGTACTGTACTGAAATAACCATTATTGGGAAAACAGCACATGGTATTTATACATTTTGACAATAATAAAGACAGCTAACACACGGCTAATAATTGGTCTTATTATCAATCACAATATGCGTGAGAAATGATGATATGCTATTTTATGCGGGATCCTATCATTAACGGAAGGAAGTCATTTACAACAATTACCCCCCCTCCCCTCCCCAACCGCATAAATTTGTACAGCATCATTAAAAGACTGAGTTTATCTGAAAAAGAATATGATATATTTGCGCAGTACATTTTGAACAATCTGATCGCGCCTCTTTACTTTTCAAACCAAAGGCCAATTAAAATAAAGAAAATGCTGAGGGCCTTAAGAATAAAAAGGATAATAATTAACACCACTTTAGATGAAGAGGATTACCAAGGTAGGTTAGGCTGGCCGTAATGATCTAGTGGAGAACGCCTTCATGAGTCGGTGGTTCAGTGGCAGAATCCTCTCCAACCAAGCGGCATATGGTCTGCGGCTTGGTCCCCAAATGACGTACCCTTAAACCTCGCCTAGTTTGCCAGCTGCAAGTAAGCTCGGTAAGAAGAGTAGGTTGCGTATGAGGCTAGATGCCCCACCGCAGCTTCAAAGCTCAATGATGAAACCTTATGTATTGACTCAGAACGTAAAAGAATTAAAAAAACAACAGCATAGTAATAAATCACTTTTGTACACACAGGTGTAGGTGGCTATAGTCTGTTTGTATCTCAGTAGGTTCCCCTGACTATTTTCATGGATATTCTTAAGAGCTGTTTTGACATCAATCTCAAGATTCATATCAAGTTCATTAAAGTTTTGGTTTCCACTAGACATAAATGTGTAGAGTGGCATTCAAACTTATAAACTCACTCAAAGACAAGCTCTGTACGGTAAAGGATTTTGTTAACCCAATTAAACAAAATAATATAATTTACAAAATACCCTGCAATCACTGCCAGTTGAGTCTACTACATAGGCCAGTCAAACTGGTAGGTCGGGGGTAATCAGATCGTCGGAACACAAGAACTTAGCTAAGTTAAGAATGGTTAACTCCGAGAAGATAAGTAATTTAGAAAAAAGCTCACCACTACATTGTACTGCGTGCATTAACCTAAAATTACACAAAAGGATTGGAGAGGGTTAAGATTCTAAGAAGTAATCTAGGTAGGTGGAGAGCGAGGGAGATTGATTACTGAATCCTCCCTGGTTCATCGAGTCTACACACCCAACACAACACATGCAACAGAAATGACTCAATGCAAATACCAGAGATTTGCGTGGAAGATATTATTGCCACCAGTCAGTCAGACAGTCAGTCAGTCAGACAGTCGAATCGGAGAAGGATAATAAATAATCTTAAATTGTATTCCATTTCAATTCAATTCACATACATCATCACAACATTCTAACAAGTTACTCACTTATTTTGACTATAAAAACACTCACTCGTCTTATTTCCCATCTGATCACAATAACACTCATATTACTAGTGTTATTATTTCTGAATGTACATTATCCTATTTTGAATTTTTATTCAAACATCTAGTCAATTCCACTCATGTATATAAATGAAGTAAACAAGAAAGTTGTGTGAGTGATGCCTTGATATGATTATGAATGGCAATAGTTTGTGCTGGAAACGTGGTCATCAGTTATTATCATTGTACAACACTGTGTGACAGTTTATCAAAATTAAATCTTATCCATAGTGGAGAAAAATGCATAGAAGTGTGCATATCTCTCCTACTTTTCCTTTCTATATGCCTGTCACAGCTGGTTCTCATTCATTCAACAACTGTTATTCTTTTTTTGTAGATCACTCCAAAGCTTAAATCCGATTAGATGCATATAATTCCATTCATAGGCTTTTATGGTTTGTTTTATATATATGGTGAGTTAAATTCAGTATTTCTGTGGAACCCGTGCGCATTTTCCACGGATTTTTCTGAAAAGTGAATGAATGATTCTATAGTCATCTTTTCAAGTATGCGTCCATTGTATCTTTCCACTGTTTCCATTTCATGTATATTAGAGAACGGAGGATATTAAGTGTCATCTCATACTATAGATTTATCTCACTGACGGAGAAAATAAATTTATTGGATCACTATTTCAGTACTAAACGGCGTATCTAAATAAGTAAACAGAGACTGTAAATCTTTGCGGTAGGCACTTTCATTCCAAATAGTCTAAAAGTTTTAATACTGTAGAAAAAAGTACTGTGAATACTTCAAGGGTTACCAGAGATGATTACTTGTCATTTTAGCTGCCTTAATAAGGCTGCTTAGTAAAGTTGGGAGTGATCACTGATTATCAAGAATCAGATCTTTTGTATTTGCAGGGGATTTCATCGTGAACTGACTGTGGTTAGAGAACCATTGGAAAACCTGGTAGTACTGAACAGTTGTCTCATCCTAGTTTGTTAATCACTGACAGTATACAACCATCGGGTTCGAACCCAGGACCTTCTCATTACAAGGCGAGCTCGTAGATCATTAAGCCACTGAGACCCGATCCAGTGGATTCTAACTTCTGATAATTCACAACATAGCACGACCACCAGCCATTGTCTTCGGCGAGTACTTTTCCTCACGCCCGACCTGCTTTACCCTACTGGTCACAACTTCTCACCTCAGGTAACTAACTACCTGAACGGGGTCAGTCGCAAGTCAGCATCTCAGGGATATTCACAGTTTTTAATGTTAATCAATACATAAAAGAAGTTGAATAAGCTTAATACGGTTACGAAATAAAATGAATAGTTTAATGAGTGAGTGAGTTGTGATTAAGATGCATATAGAAACAAAGGAAAATATGGAGTTATCTTTGAGTTTTAAAACATACAAATGTTATAAGGAGTTAGAAAGAAAACAAGCACATAAACATGAAGTCATTGGAAGTCAATATTATGTACTCGTCGCCAAATTATTGTTATGTACTGGTCGAGAATTTAATAGTCCTGATGCAAGAAAGACAGAAATCAGAAGACCACTAGGTTTGCGATGATACTTCTATTTTCCAAACCCAAGGAGAATCAATAATGTCACACAAGAGTGTGAGAGCAAAAATATATATGAATGTCCGAAAGTGTGTGGACACAAGTGTGTGAGCGAATATTCAAAATGAACAAATCAATAGACAGTCTTAACATGATTGGCTAATTATAATGGAATATCGATCCATACATACATAGCAAATATACAGACTGTCAAACAAACACACATATTATATGGATATATATCAGTAAACGAGGTCGTTACCATGACCAACCATGAAGTGGTTGGCAGATTTTCTTTTGTATGCATAATTCTGGCTTTTCCAACTGAATGGCTAAGGCTTCAGTGATACAAAGAAGACAAAAGCGTATCACATTTTGGAGGTTGTTCTTTACTTTGTAGGCCACTCTGAACTCTCACATAATTCCATAAAAAAATTAAGTTAAGTGAAAGTTAAAAAAGTAAGAATTCATGGGTCAGCGAATTCCAGCCCAACTGACTGAATAAAAAACGGATTTGATCTCATAGCCTGAAGGTCCTGGATTCGATAGCTGATGCGGTTGTGGGTGCGCACTGATAAAATAGTTCTTTTTGAATTTTAGTGATCTCACTAACGGATGCTTGTTCGTGAAGAAATCTAACAAAAGAT